TCAGGCAAATTGAAGTAGTTTCTGTCCCAGTAGCTGCCGGAGTAAAGCCAGTCCTGTGCGCCGTTATAGGGATTAGGACCTTGATGGAACCACCTGTTTAAAGAGAAAGGAAAAGATTAATGATGGAAACTTTGAAGTCTCAGGGTATCTGCTTCACTAGCTTGCAGTGTTTCCCTACTATCGGAACTCTCTTCATTCCGGGAATTGTATAGAAATACCTGCAGAGAGTCTGGAAAAGGGATACTGTTTTTCTGTTTAGGGAACGTGTAAAATAATGTTCAAAACAAGTAATGATACCACACAAAAGGTTTATCAGTGTTCCATAGCATTTAGATCTTCTGTCTTGTAGGGTTGATAGAACCAATACCTTTGTCTAAGTCACTCACTGTCTAGCCCCATTCCTTCTCTTCCACTAGGAGATATTCTTCTCAGAAAGGATAAGGAAACTAACGTTTATAACATACTTCCAGTGATCTATAAAGTACCTGGTTCATAGTACATGTCTCAAACAGCTGCACAAGGATCTTGATGTTGAATTAGGATGAGACACTATGTTTCTACTTCCAGGCTGCTGCTATTCTAGTATTTTTATCTAAAAGAATTCCAAGCTGTTATTTCCTCCAAATTCGTAAAGTCCCATTTTACAACAAAGCTGAGTGTCAGAAATTAAATCACTTGCCTAAGCTAGTAAGTGACAGCAAACTTAGGTCTGATTTTAAAGATTTTTTTCAATACCTTATGCTACTTACACGTGTTGTTGTTTGTTATGTGCTGTCGAGTCGGACCCGACTCATAGCGGCAACTCCTTGGGTTTCCAAGGTGGTATCACTACAGAAGTAGATTGCCCATCCTTCCTTCCAAGGAGGCTGGTGGGTTTGAACTGCCAGCCTTCTGGTTAGCAGTCAAGTGCTTTAGGCACTATGCTACCAGACGCTCCCCTACTTACACATAATCCACTGAAATTCATCTAATCCAAATCTTTCTCGGTCTCAATTTCTTGAATGATCGTATGAATTCTTAGATTGTATCTAGCTTTTAACATCCTCACATGTGCCCCATTTCCCACAGCCTCAGCTTTCCTTGGGTGATAGAAATAATTACTTGCTCAAAAGTTCACAGATTTGTATAACATTTTATAGATAGGAATTTTCAGGGTAACATTTTTGAAGATAGTTTTGTTTATCTTGGTCATTCTTTCCAAATTGCTTCTAAAACTACTTAATAATTAAAGTGAGAAGAGATTTGTTTGATAAGCCCCAGATGTTTCTATCATCACCACAGCAGCAATGAGCATTTACTATGAAAGTAAAGGAATTAGTCTACCAGAAACATTTTTTTTTTTCCCTCTCTTAGGGTTTTCACTCTTGCTGGTTAAAGCAAATGGCTCTGTAAAGTGTCACTTTTCATGTCAAAATCTGTACCTCTGGGTTTTACTTTTCCTCTTAAACATGGATGGGACAGGGGTTTGCCAGATAAAAACAAAAGTTGGCTTACTTGACATTTACCTATGATGAATGTGTGGGGATATTTTAACCTTAATTTCCAAATAGCAATTTTTCTTTGTCACTCATGCAACTCTTTCACCTCAAATACTTAAAATAAGTAGAAATGACTTTTCCTTCAGGCCTAGGGACAATTCAGCAGGGTGTATGCTAGACAGACTCTTGCTTTGTGTTGACTGACACTCTATTCCCTTGCCTCACCAACATGCAAGAGCTGGT